TTTTTTTTTTTTTTTTCTTTGGTCAAATTTTTTATTCTTTAGTTATTTCTTTTAGTTTCTACATTTGTTTTTAGGGTTCGTGTTTTCTGTTTGCTAAGGACCTATTTAGGTTTTTATAGTTTTTGTTCAAGTATTCTTACTTTTGTTACTTGAATTGTTTGAGCTGCGATTGGATTTGGAAAATTTGTAAAAGAATAAAAAATAAAAATGGACCAATCGGAGCATTAGTTAGCCGCAGCTTGATTTAAATGCACAAGTCCATAAAAATTAGATTTTGTGGGCTGATGATATATTAAGTCGGTACTTTTCCTCGGGATTTTGTGAGATGTGAAAATGAAACATCCTTTTAGTTAATCATTCAAAATTTGGGATTTTTTTTTATCCTTTCCTCATCACAGGAGCGACAAAAAGCATCGTCAATGGGATCAGATCAAAGGCGGCGCGAACAGGCAATGATCAATGACTTGCTTAGTCTCAAGGAGATTTTCGCCTCCACAAAACGATGCCCAAATTGTAACTTAGCTATAGTTCGAAGTGAAGGTTGCAATAAAATGATTTGTAATAATTGTGGCCAATATTTCTGCTACCGTTGTAGTAAAGCCATATCCGGATATGACCATTTCAGGTTTTTTTTTGCTATCCCACAATTTTAACTCAAAATATGATATTCTGACCGTAAAATTGCTACTGACGGTCTTATTTATTCTTCCTCTTTTTTTTTTTTATCCCCATTTTGTTTTTTTGGTGGTGGGCAGGGATGGGAGCTGTGAACTTTTCCCGGAAGAAGAAATTCAGAGGTGGAATGAAAGGATGAATGTTAACGTGCCTGCACAGATGGCCATATTTCACCCTAACTTTGCTGCTCATCCTTGCCCTTTGTGTGGACAACACAATATCAAGGTATCATTACATCCCTTCTTTATTTATGCTCTGTGTACGTGAAACTATATGAGTGGATGAATAGTGAATTAAAAGTTGATATGACACGTGAGGATGTGAGGATGATTGATTGATATTATTTAATTATTTTGATAATATTGAGGAGAGTTGTGTTGGATTTTGAGTTAAAAGATATATAACATCTATCTATAATCTATAACATCTATAATCTATATCTATAATCTATAATCTATATCTATATCTATATCTATATCTATCTATCTATAACAACCTTAAAAGTATGAGTTATTTCTTGAAAATTTTGAATTGTCCATACTGCCCTTAAAAGATGTTACTTATAAATGTAATTTATGATTTTAAATTAGAATTGATAATGGTGATTTGTAACTCTCCAACCACATTTAAATAAAAACTTGAATGACCAATACTATCCTTAAGAAATATGAAATGTAACTTTTGTTTCAAAGATAGAAATGTAATATTATAATTTTAAATAAAAATCGCATTACAACTACACACATGTTTTCTTTTTTATAGATATATGTAACTCTTCCATTTTTCTTCATCATATACAATTATTTTTCATGCATATAAAATTTATATTAATCTCATTCTAGCTATTATTCTTCATCTTCAAATATTAATTTATTTATTACAAGAGTATACATTTATTCATTTAACTTGAAAATCCAATTATCCTCAAGAAAAAGAAACGTAACTTTTGGATATTTGTTCATTTTCATTATTTCTTTTGATTATTTTAGTATTGTGAGATTATAATTATTTTTATTTTATCATGGATGTATTTTTAATACTATTGTGGATACTTGTCTTGTGAAATAGAGAAAAAATAGAAAAGTTAGTATGATGCTTCCACAATTTAGGAAACTTAGTATTATATATATATATAAAATAATAAGTATCAAGCCAAATAATAAACATTATTTTTAATTTGTAATACATGTTATTTAAAATTATCTTCATCACTATGCTTAAAATGTTTACTCCTATCTATCTTTATAGTTATAAAATAAATTACATGTAATGATGAGTTTATAATTTTGAAATTCTAAAAAATGGAACTATAATTTAGACCGTCTATCATTCAATTACAAATTAGTAATTCCAACTTAATGTCATACATATGATTATTTGATATGTGATAAATAATTGTATTTGTAGTCTATTCAAAATGTATTATTCTTTTAATTAAATGAGGGCAGATGAGTTACAAATCATCATTATCAACTCCAATATAATAAATATTTTTAATATTAATTACAATTGAATGGTCATGAATGTTCACTATCGTCATCATCATCATGAATGTTCACTATCATCTTCAAAATTTAGTAAAAACACACTGAATTATATATCATGTGTAACAAGTTAATACATTCATAATCAATTTTTTATAAGTAAAATTACAACTTTTTTTATAAGTAAAATTACAATCTATCTATTTTTTAGTTTAATCGAAATTAAGCCAAATAAATTTAACACATTATTTCACTATGGGGTTCTAAATCTCTATAATAATTGAAATGAATTAAAGTTCAATTTTCAAATAACTATCTTAAAAGGGAAACTTGTTTCTTGAAAAAATTGAATTGCCAAAAATGTCATACGCTATAATTAATTCTAAGCCAAATAATGTAATTTTATTACCTGTTAGGGATATATAAATAGGGAGTTATAAATATTAATAGTCACAATCATTTTTTCAATCAATTATTTTTCAGTCTACTTTACTTTATTATTTGTTTTATCTATGATCTTTTATTATATTTTTTTATGTATTCAATAATTTAATTTCTATTAGTTGATATAAAGATGTTAAGATTATCTAAATAAATATGTAAGTTAGAAATAAAAAATAGAATAAAAATTTCGGAAAATGTAGTTTTTAAATGTAAAAAAATATTATTTTTAAGATTTTTTAAATAAAATATATTTAATTTCACAAGTGTACCATATATAATGCACCAACGAAAATACCATCTCTAATTTCTAAATATAATATTTTTTACTATATATTTTTTTGGTTATAGTATTAAAAAATAAAAAATGAATAATTTAGTGAACATGCATATGTTTAAGAATGATTGAATGAAAAAAAATCTTCAACATATACAAAATGTCAGTTTTTTGTGGAAAAAAATTATTTGTTAGGTGAAAATATATAATCTTAATAAAATTATTTTGTTCAAATTATTCACTAAAACAATATGCATAATACGATTTAAGTTTACCTGCTAATAATATGTATAATATAAACGTTAATTTATGATATATGTGTTACATAAATTAATCTATCATTTACTTTAATTGTAATATAAATAAAAATAGAGTAATTATAAAAATAAAATAAAATAAAATAAAATAAAATAATTAAAGCTCATACATGTACTTGCTAGAAAATATATAGTTGTATTTAGAATAAGTTAAATAAAAGTAAATAGTACATTTAGTTTAAATTTATATTCATTAGCCAATCTTATTTATAAAATCATCTATAAATTATAATTTTCAAATCACTTCCTTTATAAAAATATTGACAAATATATAAAATAATATTAATATAAAAGTAAATATGAAAGAATCATCATTTTATAATTAATTTAAGATGGAATTATTTAATTATCACTATTAGGATATTCTTGAAAATTCGAAAATGATAATGAATGCACGACAATGTTAGAAGATGCAACAACAATTTATTTTAATTTGAACAATATATATAGATAGGTTCCTTCAATCAACCAATGTTACGATAATGTATATATAGATAGATAAGTACCTTTAATTAATCAAGGATGTTATTGTTCCAAATAATTATCAAGTAAATCTTCTTTTTTTAAATAATTACGACTTTAAAGATATTTTCAAATATGTATATCTCTTATCATTATATCAAGAGAGAAAATATATATCTAAATATTACTACCTCCTTTTTTAAATAAATGTCGTTTTGACTTTTTTTGATTCATCCATTTTGTCTAGATACATAGCAAAATGGATGAATCAAAAAAGTCAAAACGACATTTATTTAAAAAAGGAGGGAGTATATAATATTATAAGTGCAACATAATTGAATTTGCAACTCTATGATTAAAATAATAGAGAACAAAACATTCAACTACCATAGTGATAATTACAATCAAGAATAAAAAAATGATATTGACAATAGTATCACGAATTAGAGTTAGCTTACAATCAACAATAGAAAATGATAATTACAAATTATAGCTATAGCAAATTAGAGTAATTTTTCAAGAGTATCACGAAAAAGAAAGACATTTAAAAACTATATTATATTGACAATAGTAATGTCAATATTTTCAGCATAATGCCAAGATCATTAAATAATAAAATCAAAGACGACATAGATTTATTTAGCATTTAAAATTTCACAAAAAAATATTAATTTTATTTTGGATTTCTAACTCAATATTTACTTTTATTTGTCATAGAGTTCGTTTAATAGTATTAAATAGTGTATTGTTTTATTCAATATATTTATTATTGTTTCTTATAAAATTCACCATTTTTTTTGTTTTACTAATAGAAAGGAAATTAGATTATATTATTAAATTAAATCTAATAATAAAATAAATTTTAAGTAAAAAAAGAAGAAACAATATCACGTGCGTAGCACGTGCATCTTCCTAGTGTTAAAAAAATTATGCCGTCAATCAAAATCGGTTTTAGCCAATCGCCCACTAACACATTTGTGTGTGGGTGTACGTGAAACTATGTGCGTGGATGAATAGTGAATTTAAGTTGATTGATCGGTATTATTTAATTATGTTAATAACATCAAGGGTGAGTTGTGTTAGATTAAGATTGTGTTGGATTTTGAGTTAGAAGATGTGTTAAAAATTATTCAGTGAATCAAAATGGGTTTTAGTCTGTAGCCAATCGCCCACTAACACATTTGTGTGTGGGTGTACGTGAAGTGGATGAACAGTGAATTAAAGTTGATATGATATGTGAGTGAGGATTATTGATCGATATTATTTAATTATGTTGATAATATTGAGTAAAGTTGTGTTGAATTTCGAGTTAAAAGATGTTTAATAAGTTCTTCCGGTCAATCGCCCCATAACACATTTGTGTATGTGTGAAATGAGCAGATGGGGAATAACAACCACATACGGTGTTGGGCGTGCCAAAGCCATTACTGCTACCTGTGCAATAAGAGAGTAAGGCGAAGCTCAGAACATTTTGGTCCCAAGGGCTGCAAGCAACACTCGGCTGGATAGTAATGACTTTTTGTCCGAACAAAGGTCTTCAAATTTTCAACATACGAACCCTCTCATTTTTTTATTTGTTCTTTTTTCCTTTCGGCTTTTTCTGTCCATGTGTATGGTACAAAGTTGCACGTATGACAGTCGTTTTTCATCTTCACCGTTGAGGAATGAGGACATCTCTTGCTTTCTTGATGATATCATCTTTTCTCGTGGGCAAATTTTTTTTTTTTTTTTTTTTTTTCGCAAAATTGTGCTCGATTTCACATGTTGCAAAATGCTTACATTTTTCTTTCATTAAGGCGACTATTAGGTAGCATACTTTTCTAATAAATATACATACTTTGGAATTGAAATGTTACAAATAAAGAGTATGATATTCTTATGGCACAATTGTTGACCAAGGTCAACACACCTCCCACAGGTCTTTACCAGAATTTGGCGTGAAAGATATTGGCCCCGTTTGGAAGATAGCGGATTGAGGATAAATTAGCGGATTGGACTTAATTGAGAGGTTTGACCCGTCAAATCCGCTATTGAGCTTGTTTGGTAAATAGCTTATTTGATAAGCTTTTTAGGCCCAAAACTCTAATTTAGAAAAAGCTCATTAGAGGAGCTTTTTGGGAATAGAGGATTCACAATCTACAATTTTAATTTAGAACTTTTTAATTTGTATTATTTATTTTACAATCTACATTGGTTTATGATGCTAACAAATAATAATATGTCATCCATATGATTAATTTATCTAGAAAGATATAAATTTCATAACTTCTTAATCAATTGGTAGTAATTTTTTTTTAAAAAAAATATATATTTATAAATTACCAACTAAAAATATTAAATATTTTAATATATTATTATTAAAAGAATACACCATAAATAATAAAATGTCTTCATTGGTAATTTGCAATGTCAAACAACTATAAGCTTTCAGCTATTTACCAAACACTTATTTCAAAACCGCTAATGCAATCCGCTAGTCAAATCAGCTAATATAATCCGCTATCCGCTATCCGCTATTCGCTATCCGCTGATCACCAAACAAGGCCATTGTGTAGCATTCGAAATTTCGAATAAACTTTGGATTGTAGTTCATTTATTATTATTATTATTTATTTTTTTGCAAATAAACATGGATTTATATGTGAATTTCATATATTTTTCTCAAAAGATAAACGAGCTTAAGGAGCATCAGATTACATAATAAAAAAACCACAAATATAAGTCGTTCCATCAAAAACAAAATCATATAATTTTGAAACACAAAATAACTAAACCCACAAATCAAAAGCTGTCCACTGTCACCATCATATCACATGATAAAGCTTAATCAAAATACCTACATAATTATTTATTAAAAGCAAGCTTCATAAAATAATCCCCAATCTTCAGTGGCCCCTCTCTGTGTCGGCTGGGAATACCTATGAATGGCCATTTAAGTAAACTACACAAAATCTGCAATAAAAATACAAAAGGGATCCGTGGCGCAATGGTAGCGCGTCTGACTCCAGATCAGAAGGTTGCGTGTTCGATTCACGTCGGGTTCAAATTCCCCGAACCAAACATCCCTTCATTTTTTTTTTTTTTTTTTTTCATCCCCTCAATTTGTAGTCCTTCATAAATTTCCCTCAACTTATGACATTTTAATATTTTATTTAATTATGCTTATGTGTGTGCGCGCGCCGAGATCGAGATCAAATATATTTATGTAAACATGATTTTTGTTGATCCGAATTACGAACAATAAAATGCATCGTGTTCAATCTTAAATCCTTTACAGATTACAAATTTCCACAATTTATATCCATTGTCACCTTTTGAATCAATCATTATTATCTTCTTCCACCTCTGGCTTCACAAAGAACTCAATGTAAGCTATTCGGCTGGGTTGCTGATACCCGGACGAATCGACATTAGTGTGATGAGCATTATTACTGTGACTGTTAGAACTCGGCCGAGCAACCGAAACAAGATGCTGAACTTTGAGCATTCCACCTCGGCCTATACTCAGTTTGCTCCCTCTATTATCTTTGATCACACTGCCCGGTATGTTTGAAGTCGTCGCCTGTAAAAACTTGTACTTGTACCTGTTTGTTTTTTTTTTTTTGGAAGAAAGAAAACAGAAAGTTTAAGGGAGGAAGAAGGATAATTTGATTTGTTTCACAGTACGTTTTAGATTGAAAATAGAAAAAACAAAGGACCTGTGAGAAGTCAGCCGATCGCAACTGAACGCAATCAAAAGGTCTGTATTGGCATAGTAATTTAACTCGATCTGCATGATCAGTTAACAAACAGTGTGATCCTCCATAAGAATAATAAATGAAAAAAAAAGGGACTCCCAGAAGAATTCTTTTCTGCGAAAGATTGCTTGTACCTGCAAATCGCCATGGCCTTCGCCTCTGAAGATGACGGCTGGGGGTGAAGGTTGTAGCTTTATCTGAATGCTAGACCCAGGCCATTCGAGATCATCAATAGCTTCCTTTAAGGCTGCAGACTATAAAATTAAGTATCTTGTTACTGATTGAAATTGTGATGGCGGGGCATGTTCAAAGGAATGGCTGTACAAGATTTTATATCGGTATCAGACAAATACGGAAGTGCTCGTTTATTAAGGCAACAGAATCCCCAAGCAGAAGTTATGTAGCAGAGTGATACGAAAGAAAAGCGAACAGTGTGTAAAAAGTAACAGGTAAAAGCTCAGGTTTCCAGGTGTTCTCCATTTGTGTCTTCAAGGAATTCATGACATGATAAATTTGATATTATTCATATGTAAATTACATCAAAATCTTAAGAGTATACATAGTTTTGTGACAGAACCTACTCGACTTGACAAGTAATGTGCAGTTTGGGAAAATCTGAACAAGCTACGGCCGAGAACAGGGAAGGGGAAAATTTAACTAGTGAAGTTTCCAAAAAATGATGAAACCAGATACATTTTTATGTTATACTGGAGGAAAAAAAATAATAGCAATAAATCCAATACCGTAACCAGAAAACTATACTTCACTAGTCAGTAATGAAATCATGATGGGGGAGCTAAATGGCATGTAGGAGTGGCCACGGACATTCCGCGACCCGCCAGCCACGCCAGCCACGGACATTATGTAAGGGATATAATGTTGAGTAATGAACCTATCAATTTCAAAATCTGAAACTTCAATTCTGGTTAGGAATTAGGATGCTAAATAGTTTCTTTGGAAGAATGCATTATGCATACTTACAATTTACCAATTAATGTCACGTAATGGTTGTATTCCACGTTAATACAGCATAACAATCTTATATAAGGTCAAGACCAACGACAAAGTATGTGTAAATAAGAAATGCAACAGGAGAATATCAGAAGCATTTACAATCTTCTAATTATTCGATCATTTTCTGAACAGGATAAAAATTAATAGTAAACCTTTCTATCGCGAGTAAGGTTTACATATATCAACCAGTCAAGAATGATGACGATGTTGATTATAGTGCACCATAACAGTAACATAAACTTTTTTCCCAGTTATAATAATAAGTCAATTAATTGCGGAGCAACATGACATGAATAGATTTTTTATTGGCTGCCACGGGAATTTGAAACTCATGAAATTACAGTACTTAAAGTTTCGCATCAATTTGTCCTACTCCCGTCCTGCAAATAACTTCCACAGCTCTGTTCTCCGTTACATTAAAAAATAACTTTTTTTATTCAAAGTATTTCTTAGAAGAAACAAAATTACCTTAACCGTGAAACTCAGAGGAGTGCTCCCCGCAGGTTCAAAGTTGTAGTCCCATGAGATAGTTTCTGGTATCCTTGTCCTGATCTCCGCATAAATGCAGGCATCTGGTGAATCAACAGACCTACCACATGGCAAATAAGCAACAAAATTGTCCATATCAGGATAAATTATCAGTCAAACAAGGACACCTAGGCAAATAACTTGAGGACAAGATTCCAAGCAAAAAAAATATTTGCTGGCATCTTCGTCGTTAATATCATCATCTCCTTCGGTAAATATTTATGAAGAGATGGCAATGATGTTATGAACCACACTTGACATCTTCCAGGAACCTAACACGTGCTCTTGGTAAAAAGATATTATAACACCCAGAATAACTCCTCACAACTGATATGACTATTTATCCTTATTTCGTAATACCATTCCTTCAGCCTTGTCAATACTCAATTCACTGATAATCTGCAACTTTTTCACTTGGTGCACAATTCATCATTTTCAAAAACCCGAAATCACTGGAAATGCAGTTTTCTTGTAACATATGAATTTTCAGCAACAATACACTATAGTCTAGACTGTGGAATCTCAAGTACTCTGCCTAGTGCAAGTACACGGTCCAATCATTTTTGTATTAAGGTCGGTATTTTTTTCTTTGACCCAAAATACACGGTCAAATACTCACCCAACCCAGCCAGGAGGTATGAATAACCATTTTCATACAAGATGAAATACACACTGCTCCACTTCACAGTCGTTGTTTCATATTCCATATACTTAAACCAGATTTTCTTGAAAATTTATCAATAATTATCAATTGGTGAATAAGCCTACCAAAGTAGATGAAGCCAAAGAATACAAACCGGAGCAGAAGTTGCATGTCGGGCCCTGGATACCGGATCTCGAGGATGCTGGACCGGCCCGGGACTGAAAATGTATTGAGACAATCAACAAACAGTCCTAAGCTCAACCCAAATCTCGGCCGCCCCTGCGCCTTATAATCGTACTTAACAAATAGCTACACAGATACACACACAAAAAAAAAGAAGAAAATGGAATATGATGAGAAAACGAAAATCAAATTCGAGTACGAGAAACAACGCTAAGATTACCTCACGCTGTAAATAAACCTTGGCTTGAAGACACCCGGTTTCCTCGACGATTATCACTATGCCGTGTTCGGATAATTCCACAACCGCGTCCTGATTGTGAAGAAAATAGGCCCAAAATCGACCACTTAGCAGTCGAGGAGGAAGAACGAAGAGTAGGTGCTGGTAAGAGGAATAAGAAATTGGCGGGGGTTGGGTTACCTGAAGGCGCTTCCATCGTACGGAGGTGAGAGAGTCGACTATGCCCTGGACGCTGTCGAGCTCGCACACCAGGTCCGGAACCTCCGCGTCGGTTTCCGCCGCCGCCGCCGCCGAGCTCATCCCGCCGTCTCTCGGCCGCAAACAGTTGGGAAATGGGGGAAGAAGGCTGTGGGTTTTAGCGCCTCCCGCTTTAGCTCTCTCCCGCCAAAATGAAAAGGGAGGCGGAAGGTTTGTCGATTTTAGCACAAAGCAAGGATGCAATTGAAATTTTCATCATTTTTTTGTTAAAATAGATATAGTGGAAGAATTATTAACCGATATTTTAATATAATGATGTGATATAAAAAAAATAAAATTAATTTAGTATATATGTATGATGTAATAAGTATAATATTAATTTACTATAAGGAGTGAATTAATAGATTAACGCGTAGTAATGGCTTTTTTTTTTTAATTTTAGATTTATATCGAAAAATGTGAGTAATTTGGAAGGAAAAATGTGAAATAAATAAATAATTTACTATTTAATTGGTGGGTGAAATAATAATTTATAACAAATATCTATTTTTTTTTTTAATGGGACCAACCAATCTCATTTTATAAATAAGATTTTGAGATTTTGTTTGGATTTATATCAACGATTTTAAGTATAGAACACAACTTATTAAAGACAAAAGGCACACTGCACACCAATAACACACGAAACTGTGTAACACAACAGAATTTACAAATGAAATGAGCAGCTTCTCAAAACCATCCTATTATATATAGAGATTTTGTCATATAATGTTCGATCCAACACACAGCAAAACACACTTTCAACATCATCTTTCCACATTCTCTTGAATTCCAGTGCGAGCCCTCGATCAGGCAGCCAATACTATAACCACTATCAGAAGAACAATGCCGAATATCACAAGTAATAAGCAAGTCTGCAGAAGGAAAGTTAAATGTGAGAAATCCAAGCAAAATTGTAACCAAACGGTGAAACTAATCCAAAACGATGGAACGAATTGAAACCATCAGTATACATTTGAAATAAAATAAACGAACGCACAAATGAAAATAACTCACGCGCAAAAGAACCTGAGGGTGTAGTAGAATACAATAAGATACCAGGGCTTGCTTGTTCACAAATATATCGGTATTTGATTTTTTTTTTTTAACCAAATTTAATTTTGAAATAATATTTAAAATTAATTTGATGTAAAGTAGAAAATAGATGATTAGAAGTGATATGTAGCTGAAATTATGTGACTTGATGAATGGTGAATTAAAGTTAATATGATGTGCAAGAATGATATTATTTAATAATACTGATAATATTGATGATAGTGGGGTTGAGTTAAAGTTGACTTAATTCTGAGTTGAGATTGAATATATTTTTGGTATATATGTAAACTACTCAACCAACATTAACATTTAAAATATACAATTTACCCAAAGGAGCTAAAGTTCAATCGGCTCAGAATGTGCAAATGTGCAAATACCTAATATATTGATATACCTAATAACTCACCAGAGATGAATTTGAACGCTGGGTTTTAGCTGCTTTGACCAACTGGGATTTTCCCTGAGCAGTTGCAGCATGAGCACCCTCAATGTTGGAGCCAATATCATCTATGAACATAAATCAGATCCCTGCGTTAATTTTCTTTAACCAATACATTTAACTCTACTAGTCTGTAAATCACTTACCTATCATAGTTCCTTGGTCGTGAACTAATACAGCAAGATCCTTGAAAATCTCATTCACTTCACCAATTTGTTGTTGTATCTCTTGTATTCCCTGCTCTCTTTCCTCTATAATGGCCTCGTTGAATGCAATTTCATTGTCCAATAGCAAAACCTCTTGTCTGCAAAATATGCACTTGTAAATACACAGATAGAGTTATGATATTGCAAAGAAAGCAAACTTCCAAGTTCTTACGAATGAACTAACTCTCACTTACATGTCATTTGACCATGACAGGGTGTCGTACTTTGGAACTTAAGAGATTTATACTAATGTGGAGTTACTATTATTTTTACCATTATCATTATTGTTATTATTATTAATGTAGTTGTTGTTGCCGCTGCCAAGTTATGTATTTCTATTGTTGATGTTCGTGAAACCATTATTATTTTTAAATTTTTATGAGGTAATACTATGTAGCAAGCAAAGTTTCTGACGATGATGACAGTCCTAACATGCATCACATTCACATTAAGAAATTGTACAATGACAGATTTATGCAAATACTTCAAAACGGTAAAATTGTATTTAAAAACGTAATGCATTTCAAAGTCTCAGTTTTTTATTCATGTCACACTGTGACTTGACAAATAGGCGAATTTCTTTCTATACCACCTCTCAATATTTCATCACTTTTCTTTGAAATGAACATCAATTTTTAAGTCCAACTAGCAAAATTTAAAAACTATTGGACTGGAAACAGGAACTCAACTACAAGTGTTCAAAATCATTCAAATTTCACACCACTGCCTAAACCAACAAAGTGATTGCTAGATAAAGAAATTAACTATCAACACGAAAAATTTTAAAGAATACGCTACACAATAGCCCAGAGAAATTGTTGCTCTCTACTTGTGATGTGCATTACATACAAGGTACGAGACAATATTAAACAAGTCGATGGAAGATATACATGTAAGGAATACTAAGACTTCACAGCACATACCTTCTAGATTCAACAAGAAGTGCACGCTGTTCTGGAGTCTTATCTAAACTTGCATCAACTTCACCAGCTGTGTAGCTGCAGGACGTAATACCTCAAAATATAAGCAGCGTAATGAAAAGTATAAAGCTCATTATTCACCCAATTTTGAAACCATTTACCATAAATCATCCAGAAAAATATCTCATTAAAAAAAAAGGGCTTCAAGCAAAACCCAACTTTTAACCTCAAAAGTAGAGCATTTCAATCAATGTTACCTAGAGGGAAGTATTGCTTGAGGGGCAAACGTAGTATACGTTGTCTCTCTCTCAGCTGCAAGTCGTTGTGCCTTCTGGAACTCCTTCAGAACTGCTTGAAAATCTTTTGCTAGTTTAGCATCCGTTATTTTCTTATTTGTCTGCAGGAAGCAAGAAGAACACTTTTGGTCACACAGCACAAGTTGGAATGATTGGCAAGAAGAATATGATCCAAAATTATCGATTTAATTGCTTTACAGAGTTGATAAAGTTGATTTGTTTTCTTGTGATATTGATTTTTCTAGGTTTTGTCCATTGCAAATGGAGCTGGAAGAGTCATTGTTGGCATAGTGCTAATAATGGGCTAGATCAAAATGGCTCAATTAAATTCTAGTGCTTCTTCTATTAGTGAAGTTTCTAGAAAAAAAAAAAATATATCAAACGACGCTATGCACCTTGGGTCGCTACGGAAACAACCTCCTTGTATAATTACAAGGGTAAGGTCTGCGTACAACTGACCCCCCAGACCCCGACCAGTTGGGAATATACTGGGTATGTTGTTGTTGTTGTTGTATTGATTTTTCTAGGTCTTAAAAGATATGTTATTTTGCATATCCCTTTTCTAAAGAATGTGATTTGTAAATTTTTGTAAAGTATAGTCCTATATAAATGTGTCGTGCTGAGGTCTTTCACTCGCACAATTAAAATAAAAGACTCTCAAATTAAGATATCCACTATAACAACTGAAGAGAGCAAAGCAGCACCCCAATAGTTTTGCTTCCAACGGAAACAAAAAATCTACCAATCAACATCTAGCAGTAATGGAAGAATACAAACCACAGAAGAACATAATGAATAGGGAAGCGCCACATAATCAACTAAATAACCAAGCAAACTTACACTAACTTCAGCATGATGGTCTGTTTCACTAGCTTGCTTAAGTTTGGCTGAGGTATCCTTCACCAACTGTCCGATATGCAGCCGAGTTTTATGCCTGCAATTGAGGAAAACCAGCTTAAGAATCACCAAAATGTTTTCCTTTATGATTTACATTATTAGTACAAACAAAAAATGCATTTAGAGATCTCATTAAACTTTATCATGGCATTCCCAAAGATCTTTAAGAACTAACAGTACTACATTCTACCATGGACAACATTGGAAACGAAGAAATAATTCTTACTCTCATTTTTTATTGTTAAGCAATAGAGGCAGCCCATAAAGGATCCTCAAACACACACAACAATCTTTTGGGGTTAAAAAGGGACCAATATGTTGGGGGCATGTTATGCTGATGTTTAGGAAAGGTGATGTGAGTTACTAGGAGGATAAAGACAGGCCACCACAAGCTAAAGAACCTTCTATAGTTGCAACACTTAAGTTGAGTATGTAAATGCAAGCGCTATAACCAAATCACAAGTGAAAACGGTCAAGCTGGAATGACAGCTGGCCTATGCAAGTCCCAGATGGGTCCAGGATTAGGAAGACTCTCAACACACTAGTTTATAAGCCCCCCTTGCATACACCTATTAATTACTAAAGTAATCCGAGAAGGTAACACTGTGTAGGAGAGAAACCATAAAGGCGTCAGAGATGAACAAAAGGAGATTTGATCATCGTGCAAATACAGCAAGTGAGATAAAAGAAACAGTAAGCTATACTTTATGGAAGATTGAATCTCATTCTCACTAGCGAGGAGGGCGAAGTAAGATATAATCTTCCATCAATCGGAAACACAAGATGAAAAAACTGAACTAAAATGTGATGTCTTGCAACAGCTCGAGCGTAGATCACAGTAATTTCAGCTAAATCATCAATCAAGCTTATCCACATAGCACTAGGTTGAACGCAAGTTTTCACTTTTCAGCACCTACAACTATTAACCTCAATTCATCATAACTGAAAGCACACAGTTTTTCTGCCCACTAGACACTGAACAATGGGCCCAATAATCACCTGGGCAGTAACCAGTCGGGATACTGAACACGAATCAATTCAAAACAACAACAGCTACAGCCCAACAGAAATCAATTTCATAATTCAATAAAAACATAGATTAGCTAAAAGCGGATTCACAGTAGAAACTAACAGCTTTTCACGGAGCTCAGGCGTGTCCTTGGGTGTACCGAGGGCGTTGACGAGGCGCTGGAAGGTGGAAACCGCCGTGGTGATCTGAAATATGCCGGAGGCCACCGCCTGGGTCGGGTCCTGCTTCCCATTTACGAGCCCCCTTCGGATTCCAGCTCCCCTACCCGCTTCAAGATCCTGGAAACTCATTGAATTTGTATGATGTCTTTTCTTCTTTAATTACTGTTCTTCGTCAAACCCTAAAATCAAACGCCGCGAAAACGTGGGCGCTGCCTAGCCGACCACCGTTAGCAGAGAATCCAAACTGGATTTGATATTGTTGAGGCTGCGGTCGGCGGATTGCGGCACAGCTAAGGCGCAGAGATTTGGGAAATGGAGGAAATTGATGATGGGAGTTTTGGGGGAGAAGATGATGGAGAAGAGTAAAGGAAAATTTATTTAAATTTTAAAAATGATGGAAATTTTGAAGCAGAAAAAAAAAAATATTATAATTAGAGACGTGATGGATTAGGACCCAGCAAGGCAGGTGTACTGGAGAACATACTTTTTTGTTTTTCAAAAAGAAAAATGTCTGTACTTTCCGAAATTATTTCGTCGGGTTTGTGACTATTATATGACTATATCATTATTTAACGGTTAGAAATAGTTAATTTAATAGCTACAAATTCCAATAGAATGATTACGTAACGAGACCGTGACATTTCCTTGCTATGTAATCTAAATTATTTTTAGAAAATAAATATTTCACATGAAAGGATTCCCTTTTTTCGTGTGAACGGAGTGAAAATAAATAAATAAATCAAAAAATAGACTATTGTAAATGTGAATGGATAAAAGCTAAAATATAATGATTAAATATATTGTGACATAAATAGAAAAAAATATGAATATAAATATTTGTAGCTTAAATATATGAGTAGGTGAATTGTAAATTCTATTAAAAAAATATGTGGTACAATTAATTTTATTTTTATTTTTTTCATATTTATAATAAGATTGAGGATAAAAGTTGATGATTATATGAATAGTAATAATTTTGCTATCTAACTGTAGTTTGGATATAAAAATTTAATGGTTAAAGCGAAACTTATTATTTTTCATTTGGAAGTACAATAATAGCCATCTATTTTAATTTTTCCTTCTCAATTTAATCAACACAATTAAAATTATCAATAAATATTATATATTTTCCTACAAAAGTAATTGCCCATCTTCTCATATAATTCTAATTCTCAATCATCTATAATTACTATTTTCTTATATTTATATTAAGAAACTAAAAAGTAAGACAATCTTCCAAATAATCTAGTTTTTTTTATAACTATTTCCGGATTAGTCGGTTCCCCTGTGGATCCGGAAACCGGAAGGTCCCTGTACCAAAAAAAAAAAAAAAAAA